CCACACTGGGGAGAAAACTTTTGAATGCTTGCACTGCGGAAAGAAATTCAGTTGGAGTGGAAGCCTTCAACGGCATCAAGTAATCCACACAGGGGAGAAACTCTTTGAATGTTCAGAGTGTGGAAAGAAATTCAGTAGGCGTGACTGTCTTCAACAGCATCAAAGAACCCACACAGGGGAGAAACCTTTTGAATGCTCAGAGTGTGGAAAGAAATTCAGTAGCCGTGAATGTCTTCAACAGCATCAAAGAACCCACACAGGGGAGAAACCTTTTGAATGCTCAGAGTGTGGAAAGAAATTCAGTAGTCGTGGCTATGTTCGTAAGCATCAAAGAACCCATACAGGTGAGAAACCTTTTGAATGCTCAGAGTGTGGAAAGAGATTCAGTCTAAGTCGCCTTCTTCTAGAGCATCAAAGAACCCACACTGGGGAGAAACCTTTTGAATGCTTGCAGTGCGGAACAAAATTCAGTCATAGTGGCAGCCTTCAACGGCATCAAGGAATCCACACAGGGGAGAAACCCTTTGGATGCTCAGAGTGTGGAAAGAAATTCAGTAGCCGTGACTATCTTCAGGACCATCAAAGAACCCACACAGGGGAGAAACCTTTTGAATGCTCAGAGTGTGGAAAGAGATTCCGTTATAGTAGCAATCTTCGGATGCACCAAAGAACCCACACAGGGGAGAGACCTTTTGAATGCTCAGAGTGCGGAAAGAAATTCAGTAGTCGTGGCTATCTTCATAAGCATCAAAGAACCCACACAGGGGAGAAAGCTTTTGAATGCTCAGAGTGTGGATAGAGATTCAGTCTAAGTGGCAACCGTCAACGGCATCAAGGAATTCACACAGGGGAGAAACCCTTTGAATGCTCAGAGTGCAGAACAAAATTCAGTCGGAGTGGCAGCCCTCAATGGGGAGAAACCTTTTGAATGCTCAGAGTGTGGAAAGTGATTCAGTCTAAGTGGCCTTCTTCTAGAGCATCAAAGAACCCACCACAAAGGGTAGAAGCCTCTTGAATGCTCAGAGTGTGGAAAGAGATCCAGTATAAGTGGACTTCTTCCAGAGCATCAAAGAACCCACACAGGGGAGAGACCTTTTGAATGCTCAGAGTGTGGAAAGAAATTAAGTAGCCATTACTATCTTCAACTGCATCAAAGAAACCCACACAGGGTAAAATCCTTTTGAATGCTCAGAGTGTGGAAAGGTGTTAATTCAGAGTGGCAGTCTTCTAGAGCATCTAAGAATCCACAGAGGGGAGAAACCTTTTGAATTCTCAGAGTGTGGAAAGAAATTCAATTTGAATTGCAGTCTTCTAAAGCATCTAAGAAGCCACACAGGGGGAGAGACCTTTTGAATGCTCAGAGTGCGGAAAGAGGTTCAGTTACAATGCCAGTCTTTAGCAGCATCAAAGAAACCACACTGGAGAAACATTTTGAATGCTTAGAGTGTGGAAAGAGGTTCAGTCACAATGCCATTCTTCAGCAGCATTGAAGAACCCACACAGGGGAGAAACATTTTGAATGCTCAGAGTGTGGAAAGAGGTTCGGTCACAATGCCAGTCTTCAACATCATCTAATAACCCATACAAGGAGAAAGCATTTAACTGTTTAGCCCGTGAAAAGAGCTTTTTGTCTATTTCACTCCTAAAAGACAACCACAGATCATATAAAGCTTTGAAAGAATGTAAACTATTGTAAAGAGCTTTAATTTACACTCCCTAATGTTGGAAGAAATGTTATAAATGTTCGGAGAAGTCCATTCTTGCGAGATCTCCCCCTTTGTTGTCCACTGTTTTTTGGGCTCTCTTCTGCAGTCCTTTTAAAGTTTAAAGGGACTGCACAAGACAGCCTGAAACAGCTGAGCGATGAGGAGCAAGCAGCTCCTCACAAACCAGTTTTGTTTGTAAACGAGCCTCCCAGTTTGGGATTCAGTTCATTGTTCAGCCACGAGCTGCAAACAGAACTGCATTTCCCTGGTTCATGCCCATCCTTACCTGAGGCACAGATCCGATTTTCATGTACCTCAGAGAATACATACAAGGGTAAAACTTTCCTACAGTTGGCTCTGATGAGGGTCTTCTTCAGACTCCCAGGTGCTGAAGGTTCAGAAAGGCTCAGAAAATCATTACACCATGGAGGGCCTTTTTAGTGGTTGCCTTCCTCTCTGAAACTTGCTACTTCAGGTTATCTGCCAATCTAACTCTTTCTGACAGGTAACGGATATCTACACCCTCTCTGCTACTGGCGTAAACATAGTGCGACCGGTAGGCATCCTCAATTTACAAATATTTTGATCTGACAAGCAGTTCTAGAGAGGCATTCCCCGACCCTAACCCCTCCCCAGTCCAGCCTGCTGTGAGCTATTTGGGGTCTCATCCCTTTGAAGCCCAAAGCATCCTGGCAGTAGGATTTATTTGGGTCGAAAGGAAAAGATTGTGTCCCCCAACCCCTCAGTAAGTTCGGAGGGGTCAGTAAGTTCCACACACAAACAGCATCCAATATTGTGGAAATGGACCGGTTTCCATGGAGTTGGCAGGTGAACCTTGTGGGACATGAGTTCCCCAGTCCCAGTTGTCCTCCCCGCCCCCAGATTATCCCAGAGTGAATCAGGAAGGAGAAGTAAGATTCCCTTGTCCTGCTCAGAGTTCCCCGGTTCCAGGAGCTGGAGATTTCCTAGAGTAAGCTGTAGGGCAAGGTTTAGTCCCCACCCTGACTCCTCAGAGCCACCTTGAATTGCTTCACTGAGATTGTGCTTCTACGGCACGGACTGAGAAAATTATCTTTCCATCTCCCTACTTTAATTTGGAAAGGTATCCACATTAGGGTCACCAACAGACCTGAAAGGGGTGGGGTGGGGGAATAACTTTTCACTTTCCCAGGGGCAACGTGTGGAAACTGGCCTCTGAAGAGTAAAAATAACATCCATAATGCTTCTGGTAAAGGGAGAGAACACTGTTTTCCTCCAGGAAGTTGGCAACCCTCGATTAAGTTTTTCTGTAGCAGAGAAAAGAAAACTCAGCTAAGGAAGGGTCACAGCTCATTAAAGAAATTATTATTATTTATGTGGGGTGTGACACTCAGGCACCCTCATTCCTTTTTTTTTTTTAAAGAATTTAAGAATTTTTTTATTTTTCAGAAATAAGAAAATAGAAAACAGCAACACACACAACAAAGAAAAACAGACATACATCAAACAACATCAATGAAGTCTGTACTCATTACATCGCTCAATTTTGTGCCAATAGAATTTGTCTGTATACACTTATTTCAGATTATACTTTCAATGTTCAGAGCTTACATTTTGATTTTAATATATGTTAAGATAGTTCTCCAACCATTTGTAAAGTCTTGACCAGTTTTTTTCATAAGTTTCTTCTAGTTTCCCCTGTAATTGTAAAGTCAGTTTGTCCATTTCTGCTGTTTCCAGTAATTTGTAAATTATTTCTTCTTTTGATGGAACGTCTTCCTTTCTCCAATATTTTGCATATAATATTCTGGCCATAGTTATTACATGTTTAATCATATAGGCATCTATTTTCTTAACTGTTTCTGGTATAATATTTAATAAAAACACCTCTGGTATAAATAGTATAGTCGTATCTAGCATTTTTTGCAATATTTCATAAATCCACATCCAATATTTTTAACTACATTACACGTTCACCACATATGAAAAAGGAACCAGCGTGTTTCTTACCTTTCCAACAAAGATTTGACATATTTGGGTACCATTTCACTAAATTTTCTGGTGTCATGTGCCATCTATAAAACATTTTATAAATATTTGCTTTAAACGAAGTAGCTGTTGTAAGTTTTATATTTGTTTTCCATACCTTAACCCATTGGTCTAGCTGTAAATTGTGACCTATATTTTGTGCCCATTTAATCATTGAGGTTTTTATTATTTCATCTTGCAATTCCATATCTAACAACGTAATATAACAACATCTTTATATATTTTACATCTTTACCCAACAAAATTTTATCCAATTGAGTTGGATTGTCACAGAAACCTGTTTTTTTAATCTTTAACATATCTGGAATCTAAATGCACCTTTCCCCACCAATTCAAATCAACACCCTGCCTTTGGAGGACCTCTTGTGATTTTAATAAATTCTTCTTGTCTAATAACTCTTCATAGCTCCTTAACTGTTCTTTGGTAAAAAGATTAGGATTTATAAATGCCTCCAAGGGTGAAAGCCACTTAGGTATTTTTGTATAAAAAGTGTGTTTAACCTCTTCCCAAACTTTAATCAGAGATGCTCTCATTCTGTGCTGTTTAAAATATGTATGTACATTTGTTTTCTCATACCATACAAAAGCGTGCCAACCTAATTTCAAGTCGTGACCTTCTAATTTCAGTAGAGTTTTCCAGGGTAATTAACTTTTTCAACCAAGTCAAAGCCATAACTTTGTAGTAAAGTTGCCAATTGGGCACTGCAAAGCCTCCCCTTTCTTTAGTATCTTGTAATACTTTCATTTTCATTCTTGGTTTTTTATTTTGCCAAATAAGCTGCCATGTCAGTTTTTCTAATTCTTTATAATATTGTGGGTTTAATGCAATTGGAATTGTTTGAAATAAGAAAAGAATTCTCGGTAGTACATTCATCTTAATAGTAGCTACTCTTCCCATAAAGGATAGTTGAAGCTGGTTCCATTTTTCCAAATCTTTTTTGATAGAACTCAACTTTGGTATAATTATCTTTTAGCAGTGAGCCGCACCTGTTTGTCAGCAGGATACCTAAATATTTTATTTTTTTCTGTAGTTCAATACCGGATTTTCCTTGTAGTTGCTGAATCTGTTCTTTAGTGCAGTTCTTTGT